GAAATTAAGACGATCTGCCAATGGAATGAGCATTTTTACCATTAAAATAAGTAATATTAGGTATTATGCACTTGAAAGAAGAGACTGCTGTTGTTTTTTTCTTATTTTAAATGTAAATTGTTCTTATTCCATTGGCATAGTTACTCTCTTAACAGCTCAATAAAAAAAAGCACCTATTTTAAGAAAAAATTGACTTACTTAGATTTACATTTTTGCAGTGTTCATACACTGCAAAAACAATCTAGATATAAGTAAAGATTTCTTAAATTAAGTGTGTTTACCCTTAATTTGAGAAGGTAAATAAGAGGATTTGGCAACGGAATTAGTATTTTTACTCTTAAAATAAGACTATTAGATAAAATGCAGTTGAAATCCTAATCTGGTTTTTAATCTAAAGTTTGATTTAAATCCATTCTGCAATATAACAAAAACCATAAATGTTCAGAGGGCTTTGATGGTATGAAACTGTCCGTATCCCCCCCAAGAAGAAGCCTTCTAAGAACCAGATCTGATCCTTACCGTCTAACCTTTCAGGAACCACGCAGGTGTCATCAAAGTACAGCTGGGATTCTCTGTCATACGCGTAGCCTGAAATAAACACAGGAAGAAAGGCGGCGTGAAGGAGATGAAGGTGGAAAAGGTTCACGGACGGAAGAAAAAAATCCTTCTGACAAACAAAGACACCAACAGGGATGAACTCACTGTCATGGGGGTTTTGGTAGAAGCTCCCCGCCCTCCCGAAGGACGACTGGCAGTTAGGCACTTCTGGAAACAGAGCAGACAGGAGCTCAATGTTAGAACTGGGATTAAAGGCTAAAAACAAGGGGGGCTTCATCTCGGTGGGACCACCTACAGATCACAGAGGGAGGACAGAGTGGCCCGTACACGTCTGAGGCTTGAAACGGGATTAAATCTCAGCGATGATCAAAAGCATCAGCCCCGCCCTCTGAGGGGTGACGCCATGTTTTCCACTCTGCGTCTCTCCAAGGATCCCCTCCTCGTTATAAAGTTGAACTTAAACGCTGCGCTCGTGCTCAGAGGACAGGCTCCTCTGATGTGACGCGAGTATTTAAAGGCCATAAGAGCATAAGAGGATTTGTCATTACATCACAGGGCAGCGCAGACATCCAGAACAAAGCGAATCCGTTTCAGCGTCAGAGAGGCTGGACGAAACCTTCTGGAGGGAAGGATAATGCACTAGGGGTGGGGGGGGGCACAACAGCTGGATGAGTGGGCGTTTGGGTCGAGCGATATGCCGCCCGACACTCTAAACATTTGGTTTATCTGATGCGTGAGCCGTCCCTCTCAAGGCGGTGGACTTTTTGATAAAGCTTCTAGTTAGAGTGGCTCAGGTTATCCTGAGCTATCTCTATAGTTCTGCTGCTATAGG